AAATAAATTTAACTAACAAGCAGATGTTGAATATAATATCGATTAGTTTACTCTTAAGTTTAATATTGACTATTTCGGAATGTTATTTTCGGCATTAATAACTTTACTTTAAAAAAAATTCAAAGTCATAAGTTTGTGTATCGATTTAGGCTTGCTTAGAGCACAACTTAGAGAAAAACTAGCAAATTACTTACTTATGATTTTGCTTTTATTAAAAGGTTAAGCGGTAACGTTATAAGTTATAACGTATGATTTGTATTGTGATCGACAACCTCTTTCTAAGCACTCTATAGTCTATTCATTTCGTATACCTAATTACAGTCCCATTAATTCCCTCTAAAAGAATCCCAAATAATTGTATTATTATGTCTATCGTCACATTCATGCAAATCTCGTAAGATACTGTAATCTGAAAAAGCCAAATTTTATCGAGAGACCATACCTTATCAAAAAAATTAGGAAAATGAGCGTTGTCAGTTGCGTTAGTATTTTGCTTTTAAATTTAACGCTGACGGATTTGTTACTCGTGGTATTTGTTTCTTTTAATTACGAAGAATTTTTAGCTAACAATATTTGTTGTTAAGACCACTAGAAACCTTTTCTTTTGAAGTAAAAGGACAAAGAGGTATTAGGGGAGGGACCGAATACACGGCATATCCTCTTGAAGCCTCGTGTTTAATTATGAACTGTTTTGCAGCTTGAAAGGAAGTTCTTATAAAATAGAAGCTACAATTTTCTTGATATCATTATTTAAGATCAAGGTAAATACATTATAGGTCGGGGAAAAAGTTTCTTCATATTCTGTTTGTATATAAAATTAAAGAAAAATCTCTTGTACTTTTTGTATATTCATTAAGAAAAGGAGAAATAAATAACACTTTCCCGCTATTTTTCAATTGTTTTTCTTTTCGCCAAAATGAGCGAGTCTAGAGATCCGAGACACATTCTGAAGTTTTATTACAAAAGTGGTAAAAAAGCACATAGCTTTCTTTCTTTCTCAAACGTTTTCAGTCCGGGAATTTTAATGTCACAAATGCAGCTCGCTCTGGCCGCCCTCACTTCATACGGATAAAGTCGATGCCATTTTTGAAAAAGTGGAGCAAGATCGGAATATTAGTAGTTACGACATAACAGAGAAATTGAGGATTGACTACAAAACAGTTTTGAAAAAAAAAGAGCTCGATATTTGGGTACCACAGGAGCTCTCTAATAGAAACATAACGAATTGTAAACTCATTTGCGATTCTCTATTGAAACGTAATGAAACTGAACCATTTTTTGAACGATTTATCACCAGTGATGAAAAATGAATCACCTACGACAAGAACGTGCGTAAAAGATCATGGTCAAAGGATAGTCAAGCTCTGCAGACTGTAGCGAAACCTGGAATTGGAACTGCATAGTTTATTATATATCTTTTACCGCTGGGTAAAACCATCGATTTGGATCTCTACTGCTAACAACTAATGAGACTCAATCAAGAAATTGATAAAAACCGTCCGGAATTGATCAACAGAAAAGGAGTAGTCTTTCATCAATCATCATAATAACGCCAGACCACACACATTTTTTTATAGGATCGGGTGACAAACGAGCACATAGTCCACCTAATGGTAAGTGATTGCTATGGCCCATAGACATCTGCATCTATCCTCGATTACGAATCAAAATGCAGATGCGTCGTCACCCGTGAGGATTAAGAGGGAATGCCTCGTTTCCAGTAAAAAGGGTCTCCAGTTCTCTACACTCACCACACGAAACGAAACACAGCAGCATTAAGCTACTATTTTAGGCTGGTATTCTGTGAGAGCGTGGTCCTTCCCCGGTCGAGCCGACCCATTCGTGCTACAACTATACTACTAATATAACTGCAGCATGGCTCTACCACGTATACATATACATCGTTTATACATCTTTGGCCACTTAGCAAAAATTGAGAGAACTTGGTTGGAAAGTGTTAATGCATCCACCATATAATCCTAACCTCTTCGGTCTCTTCAGAATTATTTGGATAGCTTTAGGTTAACGTCAAGAGAGGACTGTCAAAACTACTTGTCGCATTTTTTTCCCCAAGTAGAAATCCCAAGATTTCTACAGCAACGGGATTATGTCACTAGCTACAAGATGGCTATAAGTTATCGAACAAAGTTGCACATAAATATTATCATTAAATTTAAACTAAAAAAAAAAACTTTTTCCCTGACCTTATATTAATGGTATATATATACATAGAGATTAATTTAAATATACCGTAATGAAAGCAGATGTCACGTCATTCAGATCCTTACAAATAAGAATTTTCCATTTGCAATATAAATTAAAATAAGAAAGCATTTTGCTGTCAAACATTTAATGCACCTGTCTCACAATGAAGGCATTATCAGAACATGCCACGATGTTTACGTCACGTTGATAGTGCTGTGACCTTAAGATAATTATCGGTCGACGCCTCGTCTCGGGTCTATCGATAGCTCGGAACGACGCAAGGACACTTCAGTCGAATTTTTATAAATACCATGCTTACCAATAACGATCGGTATGCCTAATATTACATTTTAAACATAGACTATGTAATTATTTAAATTTCATGATGTTTAAACTTACAGCTAAAGCCGAATAAAACATAACAATTTTTTGGAAATATTGAAAATTACGAAATAGTAATAATAATTCAAAAATTAAAGCCTAAATAAACCTAAATCCTAAGCACCATATTTTTGTATTTAGGTTCATAATATAATTTATAAGTAAAAATGTTTAATATGTAGAATTTTGTGCATAATTTATTTACATTGTCATTCCGATTGGCAATATCTATAATTGTAGTAATGACCTAATGAGAACCTCTCGAACCTAACGAGAATCTCTCCCAAGAAGGTTCTCGTAAGGTCATTAGGATAGATTGTTAGGCTATTTGTATATCGTCTTTAGTAGTGATAAAAATCATATTTTTTCATTTCGTAATATAATACACAAACACGACACAGACAAAGGCGTATGTCTGACGTATAAATGACCGTTCGGCCTTGTCTAGGCCACGATGACGCCATCTTGCGTGCGAAAGTGCTCCTTTTGTTGGAACACCAAATTTGTCGATCTCCCGTTCTCGCATATTGATAAAGCCATTGATAAAAAAAAGATAAAACATATTCATTAGTACCGACTTTGTAACAATAAGTTGATTTATAACATTTGAAATCAGGTACGTGTTATAAATTTCATTTTTAAGTAATATACGCGCTCGAAGTAACTGCATACAAATGTTTCTAATTCAGAATAATGTAAGCAGTGTATTGTGTAATTGACAATTAAGTGTTACTAAGGCAACGACGTTCCGCTCAAGTGATATTCGAGCAATGTCTCTAGAGCTCAAGAGACTATATTGGACACTAATTGTTTTGCCAGACGCTTGTCTCTTTATATCTAGTTCTTTTTTTATATTCATTCAATATTTTTGCCAAGTGTTTCCACGCATATTGCCGTCGTGTTTATTTTTTATGAATTTTGATAATAATGTCTCCCAGACCGGATTTTGGTTATGGCGATCCGTATTAACGGAGACAAGCCATTTGCGCAGAATAGGATTATAGTGCACGAGTGTGTGTGCAAGTACAGGTGCATTCTCTATTCCCTCATTCTCATAGTCTGATGAGACGTCAATCTGTCATAACCGGAAAGAGATTAGGTACAGGACCAACGGCTTAACGAGCTTGCTTAGGGACGGAGGTGAAATGAAACAACGCGTATTTCGTGACTACGGGCTACTACTGAGGATTTCTTGACAGAAGAACTCAATCACTGAGTTTAGTTCACCATTATTAGCAGTCTCGCTTACGACCTCTAGACCAACAAGACGGTCAGGCAGTTTTAATAAATACATATTATAAGTCACAGAATAAATAATGATACTAACATAATTAAGTGCCAATTTAGTATCAACTCAACACAGCAATAAATCGTGTGATATGGTGTTAACTTTGAGCGATACTTGAAAGGTATTGAGTGTCATTGGTCTTGCGTCGTTCCGATTCACGTAAAACGCATTATTGGATACCTATGTTTAGTAGGTATGTGGCCGCTAGTCAGTGAGTTGTATTGGGAGCGGCGGACCAGTCCAGCGCGCGAAAGGCGAAATGCTCGCGACCGGGGCCGGTCGCTACAACCGGCTTCGTGAAGGCCGCACAACGCCCCCCACTACTCAATAATTCTACTAGTGATTTACGCGTTATCGATATTTATCATTTAAGACAAACAATTACTTGCGCTTAACATACTGATTTTCGTTGAGTCAAGTTTTAAGAGAACATTTTTAGACTTTTAAGCATATCTAAATATTGCAAAATAATCATCTCGTTTACTCTAGACTTAAAATATTCAAATCAGCGATGAGGTACACCATCAAAGGTGCAAGACGTCCGTTGCCGCGATTGTAAAAGGATCTGCTAAACGTTGCAACTAGGTCAGCTGTTTAGTAGAGGATTTATATGAGTTGTAGTTGAAGAAGAATAAATATTAATCTCAATGTGGCCTCCAGAGCGAATTCTGGTCAAGACGCACAACGGAGACTTGCCATCTGTGCAGGACCGGATTATAGTGCCGAAGTGTATGTGCAAGCACAGATGCTGTCTCTATTCCCTCACTCTCATTATTTTACACGAACGGAGAAGGAAGGCATTCCTTAGGGGAGACCTATGTTTAGCAGTAGACTTGTGAAGGGCTGTAATGATGATGATGATGGAGAAGGAACAAACGCTGGACCAACGGCTTAACGTGCTTTCCGAGGGACGCGGGTGAAACACCGCTAACTTTTCCGGTCGCTACTGAAAATTTCCTGGCAGAGAAACTCAATAACTGATTTCGGAACGACTTGGGATTCGAACCCAGGACCTGATTTACATAATAACAAGTTTATTCCCGAAACTATTAAACAAAATAATATTTGCAGTTAATTTGAACTCTAAAAAGAAGAAATAATCATAATAGGTATAATTTTTATCCAAATGGTTAGTGGGCAATTAATCACTACTGTTTAGTTTTTCAAAGTCTTGTTCTTCTTTAATTATCCTTATTTTAATAATGCCAATTCTAGAGTCTACAAATTCACTGACTAACGTCCTTTGACGTGGTTTCACGTTATCGCGCCCGAGGCTGAGCGCACTGTAAACAAAGTGCCAATGACACGGAGGTCGAGTGGTCGTATCGATAGTAAAGCGACGCTGTCACACAGCACTGGGTGGGTCGGCAAGGCCGCGTTGCGACGATACATACGTGTGTCGTCGCTCGTACGTGTACACAAATATCGTCTCGAAATGACGACTATTTTCCAAATATGAATCGCGAGTAAGCCTGTACGCATTTATATTTTAAAGTGATTTAAATTCACACAAAATGTTAACTATTTAATTATGGAACTAATTCCAATAAATTTATGTATTATGTTATTTTTTTCAGGTTGACAAGATGCTGGATTCATCTGTTGATGGCTTTCAAAGGTGCTTAATATTAAAAATAAGAAAAACAACAGAAACACTCGATAATATTTTGGATAACGGAAAAGAAACATGTAAATGGAAAGCTGCGTTCCAACGACGGGATATCACAAGACTGAATCCCACAGATGCCTTAAAAGCTATCATTGATGCAAGATGATTAAAGAAGATAGAAATATTTTTCTACGAAAACAATATACCATAAATAGTTTTTGAAGAATTTTAAAACAGTATTTTTGATAATTAAAAAGAAAACAGACACATTTAGTGAATGGTGCTATATAGTTTAGGGAAGTAAAACATTGTGAACTGTCGATAATAGTGGTTATGTTAGTGTTGTGAATTTTCAAGTGATGAATACAACTATGTCGAGCGAGGGTGAAGCGGTAAAGGTAGAGGGAGGTCATGTATCCGTTACCACTATCAGTATGTCGGGCCCAGAGACCAGCAATGGTAAGTTAAAACATTTTCATATAGGTTTGGGTATAATTTAAAGAAGGATTATTATTTCTTAATTATTCATTTTCTCCCTTTCCCTATCTCTGTCTTTTTCTTTCTCGCAATCTCGCAATATTTAAGAACTATTGTGATAGTGTTACATTATATTGCTTATTGAAACAACAATAATATATTTTTAAACGGAGTATCTAAGATCTATAGACCTTTGCAACTTTCTTAAAGTAGGTAATATTTTCAAATAAGATTGTGGCAATGTCGAGCGGACATCAATTAAAAGAATTTAGCATTTGTCACATTACACCTTCCTAAGGTGCTTCAGCTATTGGTGTGTATAAAACAGAATTGTTGTTTATAAATTATATATAAGAAGAAACTGTCATAGAATAAAATCTATAGTTTATGGCATTATAAGGAGTTATAATGTACATAAGAGGGTTTTTTGGGCCAATGGCTGTCACCTTGGGGTGGGGGCATATGAGAGTGTGATGTCATGTGATTGATAACTGATGTTATCACATGACATCCACGGTGGGTGCACTAGGAGACTATTTAGGGAGGACTAAGTAGAAATCTTGTGACTGATTCTTGCCGTATCCTTCTTTTTTACATCTTGGGTAAAAAAATTAAAGATACAGCTACAGATTTATGGAGTAATTTGATCGCGGCGCTGCTCCAGTGCATTTTTAGAACTTCATATCTTTAAAATTACATACATAAATACATAAACAGTCACGCCTGTCACCCAGAGGGGTAGGCAGAGACTAGACTTCCATTTGGTACGATCCTGACACACCTCTCTCGCCTCCTTCACATCCATATCTTTAAAATATTTTTATTAATACATGCAAGATTCCTAACATTTCTTTCGTCGTTGATTAATGCATATACTTCATTGGCGGTAGACTGATTAGGGTGAGACCAAAATCATAATATAATATAGTGGGGGTGAAATGTGCATGTGGTAAATCAACGCATAAAATTTCAACTAATAATTCCATTAGTACCGGCGGGAATTGGATCTCCGAATTGGGTTCGGAACCCGGGCTGCACGCGTGCTTTCAAATCAACAGCGAACTCCTAGCTACTAAGCTACCACGGCATCAACTGTAACCATCTTGTATCTGTCGTAAACTATTCAGTTCAGTAATGGAAAGTCATTGATCATCATTCATCATTGATGAAAAGACGTAGAGACATCTGGTAATGTCACCATCTGCCTGCAATTATGGCAAATTCAGGCAAGTCAGGGGTCAATGAAAATGTTGAGGGACAATAAGCCAATGTTAAATCCGAACACCAACGCTATTGTCCACAGCGACATATAAATATATATTACGGATGAAAGGTATATGGAAAAGGGAGTCTGTTTGGGATGTAGAGCACAGATTACCCCCCTAAAAACAATCTTGAAATTAAGCGACTATATCTGCAGTAATTATTCTATTATAAAAAGTACAGACTTCAACTAGGATCTAACCCAGCAGAACTCGTGACTTAGCATGCGTGTACGCTTTAAGTTTACGGTGGTTAATACTCCGAACTTATTTTCCATAATCTAAAAAAAAAAGTTATGCAAAATCTATGTTAAATAACTTTGAATTCGAATATGCAAAATCTCGAAATAATGACAAAAACTTCATTTAAATATATTAACTTTTCAAAATATAGCAGCTTAAGTTTGAGAATCATGCTTAAGAATGGTTTAACCTATTACCTCAATGGTTGTTGAATGAGGCTTTTAATGGATAATAAACGTTCTTTTTTACATTTAAAGTCTTGTATTTCGTATAAATAAATAAAATAAATAATAAATAAAATAGCCTTTCTTTCTACTACAATACAAACTTGACTTATGATTAATCTAGGTATAAATAGTATAGTATAGTTAATATGTATTTTTACGTATCATTATGTATGTATTACTTATTGATTGACTTAGTTAATATTAGTAGTAGTCGCCTCTGCGGCGTAGGCCTCTCCTAATCCTTTCCACATTTCTCCTTCCCGAGCCACTCGCATCTATAGGGGTCCACATCTCTGATAAAAAATGTCTCTCCACCTTTTGCTTGGTCTCCCTTTTTTTCTTTTCCTGTCTCTTGGTATCCATTCTGTTGGACCAAACGTTTAACAGAATTTCGTATAAACTTTCTTTTAAAACTTTACAATTTTACAATTAGCCATACTAACGAATAATTCTTATGACATGTCAGTGTACAATCTACTCGTTAAATAGGTTTTCATTCCTTAGAATCGATTAATAAAACATAAAACTAAATTATAAAAGATTGAATAAATATAGATATCGTTAGAGGAAAATAAAACTAATATCTGTCTTAAAAAATACATAAATTTGTACCTACTCTATGTATTGGCTTTAATTGGCGCTCGAATAGCATATAACTGCAGTTTGTCTAGAAAGTTGAAATCCATAAATTAAAGTTCAGGGCGTTCAGCGCACTCGCCGATCGGATTTCTCTCTAACCTGATAGTTAATCTCGTTGCATTTAATACTCTGAGATATTCCACGCAACTTTATAATGTCGCTGTACTGTTGAGATAAGATATTTTTATAACATGTCGTGAACTGATCTTTCGCTTAATGGCGCTGTGAGAAAATGCAACATCCCATCTCTTGTCATGAATTTCGAAGTAGTATCGATCATGCGTGCTGTAACGAAATAAGTTTTTACGGTTTGTCATGTCCTATTAAAAATCCTTAAATTCGCAAAAATATTGTGGGTCACTCATGGGCAAAAAAACTATCCTACCTGTCAAGTTGAACCAAACTGCACACGGTGTGCACATTTAGGAGTCCATCGCGGACAAACAACGTGACGTTTATATACTTACATATATTATGATATATATTAATTTTCTGGATTATTTTTATATAAAATCTGAAAAATAAAGAATTTGGGATTATGGAATAGAAATATACGAAAACACGAATCATGGAAACATAGTAGCTTCCATCCATCGATAAGTAACAGCCTATAAAAATCCACTCCTGAACATAGACCTCCCAGATATATTGCCACATGAAGGGATTTCGCGCGGCAAGCGGCTTGGCAATCGCAGTTTTTTTTTTTTCAAATTTTTTGAGTTCCTATCAGGAACATACTGCCGCCCATCTTCCTGTTTCAGCTTCCCTTTGCCGTCTCATATAACACCCACGAGACAATAATATCAGGTAGTTGATATTCTCACGGCGCCACTATACGGTCGTTTTTTTTTTCGTTCGTTAACCCTAATTAGTTTGTTAAGAAATTAAACAGTGAATTAAAATTATGCTGATGCTACCTAAACATATTGTAACTACCTATAGGAATAACGAGTACACCCATGGACATTACATTGTATTACTAAATATTAAATACCTGTCCAATGGATCTTAATCATTACAATTATTATTTCAAAGTAGTAAATAATTAGTGCTTTATGTGTACAAACACAGAAAAAATTATTTGCGCAAACTTCTTTAAATTTAATGATTTCTTATATTTACGCGAACACTACACATTTATTAAAACTACTTTTACGGATTTTATCGCGTTTAATTTTACTTTTAATTATTTTTATTTTTAATTCCCGACGTTTCGGGTGCTTGGCCATGCTTCCAGACCATCGGTGCTGCAAAGAACCCGAAACGTCGGGAATTAAAAATAAAAATAATTAAAAGTAAAATTAAACGCGATAAAATCCGTAAAAGTAGTTCCTTAAATTTATTTGAAATCAAAATAGCAACAAAGAACATAGGTACTCACAAATTTGTTTAGTATGTTTTTTAAATAGTTTAAGGGTGACAAACGAGCACACAGTCCACCTGATCGTAAGTGGATGCTGTGGTCCATAGACATCTACATTTATCCTCGATTAAAAATCAAAACGCAGATGCGTTGTCACCCCTGAGGACTAAGATAGAATGCCTCGATTCCAGTAAAAAGTATCTCCGGTTCTCTACACTCACCACACAAAACACAGCAGCATTACGCTGCTATTCTGTGAGAGCGTGGTCCTTCCCCGGTCGAGCCGACCCATTCGTGCTACAACCATAACACGGCACTACTGCAGCGTATAAAATTGTCTGTAACAAATCTGTTATAACCTAGAAATTTACTGTATAAGTAATTAAAATCTCTTGTAATTTTGAGTGCATTGTATGAACTTTTTATAAAGCAAAAAAAATTACACAATAAGGAAATGTTTTAAGTAATGCATAATAAAGAACGTAAAAATTCCAAAAAATTTGCTTCTTTTACCAAAAAATGAAACTGTGTTTTATACCTATTTCTTTATAGAAATACCCGGAAATTGATTAAAACTACTTTTACGGATTTTATCGCGTTTTATTTATATTAATTTTAATACCAGACGTTTCGGGTGCTTTCCAGCACCCACGGTCACGGGGGACTGAGGTGACTGACGTCCCGATGTCGAGGTTAACCCGGAGTACCTTCAGCTTTTTAATTATTGTCTTTGGTCCGATCTACGCAGAATGAACTAACTGTATTTTGAAGTCTTGCAGTGGTATGCTTGGGTTTAGTTTTAATTTTATTAATTATAGGATCCCAAGCAGGTGGTAGTACCCAGCCTCCTTCTCTATTGAAATTAGGATGTTTTTTAATTTCAATAGCCTCACGTATCATCCTTGGTAGGAATCGATGTTCTTTCGCGAGGATTTGTGGTCTATCAAATCTGATG